CTGAACTCTGCTCAAGAGATGCAATCTTCCTTCTGGAAGGGTCACTAGAGCGAGTTCCCATGTAAATCAACTGGACTGGGAAGCCACGTTTACAAAAAGAGAATGTCCCTGTTTGTCTTAATTTGCTCTTTAGTGATCTATAGTGATCTTACTGCCAACTAGATTTTCTCTCTTTTTTTTAATATTATTCGCTATATTTTTCATTTAAATTAAAGTTGCATTAAACTTATATGGCAATTTATATATTCAATTACTATTCCAAGTTCTTTAAAATTATCAACATATATTATAAGTTAATATTATTATAACAGTAAATATTCATAACAACCCTGAGGTCGATTCTATTTTTATCATGTACATTATACAAATGAGAAAAGAAAGACACCTGGAGGTTAAGAAATGTGCCCATGGGTCGACAGGTGGTGAAGTGGTTAAGGTGCTGGACCCCCACATGGATGACCATGGTTCAAGTCCTGGACCTGAAGGTTTGAAAATCATGCCAGTGCATGTGTGTGCATAATCAAAATCATGGGAGGAGAATGGGATTGTGGCACAGCCATCTCTCCTGGGGGAGTAATTTCTCACTTTCTTTCTCTCTGTTTCTCTCTGTCTTTCTCTGGTGAGTGCATGCACCCTATGGCAAAAACCCTTAGAAAGAAAAACAAGAAGAAAAAGAAAAAGAAAGAAAGAAAAGGAAAGAGAAAAAATGAAGAAAGATAGAAAGAGAAAGAAAGAGAGTTGCTCCAGGGCCATACATTGTCCTTAATTATATGTATTTAACAAATATTTTAACTTAATATTAATCAAATACTTCATATAAATTGACATTTCTGTTTTTCTTTTCAGTGTATTTTTAAGAGTACATGATTATGTTTTACTTCTTTAACAAAATCTAAGAGTTTTTCTTAAATAATAAGCAAATTTATTGCATATATTAACATAATTTTTATACAACATCTACTCATGACTGTGCCTTCTGATTTTTAGTTTGTGGTCGCTACACTTTTCCATCTAAATAGTCAAACACCTCAACTTTTTTCCTTTTATGTATTTGGCTTATTTTTGTCATTGTCTTTACTTTTAACCTTTCGAAAGTATTCTGGCCTATTTCTCTAATTTTCAAAGTTATGAATGAAGCAATATATGCAGATTTCCTCATCTCTAAAACAAAATTTTAGTAGAATTTACTTCACTTCTCTCTTTTCTTCTTCTGGTTCTTGAAAATATTATGAAAAATATGAAATGGAGTCTTTCGATTAATCTCATCTAATTATACAGACATATAAATATGTCATTTTTCCCAATAATTGTCTTTGTCATTTGAAAGCTTTGGCAATTACCTAAACTCTTGGTTTATTTATTTTAGTGTTAAACACTACTCATTTTATATTATAGCTTCTCCCAAATACACACGGAAGTGTACAGATCTTTTTAAAGCTCAGAGAAAAAAAGAACTGAGTGCAGAGGTTACAAGAGTTCCTGATGGGACCAGCAGGTGACATAATGGTTAAGGGCACTGGACTCCCACTGAATGATTCAAACTGCTGTTTGAGTCCCAGACCTGGCAGCTTGCTTTCTCACTTTCCCTCCCTCTCAGGCTCGCTCTCGCTCTCTCACTCTGCCCATCTCTGGTCAAATTAAAATAAATAAAATCTGAGGAAGGACATTAAGGAGAAAAATAGAGAGGCATAGTATTAATGGGACAAAGAAATGGGGTATTATCTGCTGAAGATAACTTTATAGTATTAGCAACTGGATTGGGGAGAAATGCACACGTACTGGAATATTCACTTTGCAAGCTAAATAATGTGATTGATGGGACCAGCAGTTAGCGTAATGACTATGTCGCTGGACTCCCATATAGTCGACCGCAGTTCAAGTCCTGGACCCGGCAGCTTAAACTCACACCGGGCGCGTGTGCGTGCGTGCCTAAGATCTCAAGAGGAGAGTGGAGGAGAAGGGATTGTGGCATGGCCATCCCCCCGGGAGGTGATTTCTCGCTTTCTATCCCTCTGTCTCTCTCTGTCTTTCTGGCGAGCGCACATGCCCTATAGCAAAAACCTCTCAAAAAAAATAATAATAATGTGATTGAATGTATAAAAGAACTTGAAATAAAATAAAAATACATAAGGTTAAATAAAATAATTCTTGTAAAAAAAGAAAAAAAGTTCTTGATGGTCCTATCTCTGCTGTGGCAGGAAGGATGGTGGTAGAGAATTTGGACTCACAGATCTCATGTAATTACAGATCTCCAGTCCTGCCCCAGATGCATCTGACCTGAGAGGCTGGAGAGGAATCACGCACGGGAACCTGGCTACATACGCCCTGCTCTGATTGGAAGACTCAGCCCTCTCCCAAGAACACACCTAGGGAATAAAGCTATACTTTCCCCTGATGCTACAGAATCTACTCTTGAAAAGTAGGAAGAAGCATGTATAAAATCAGATAATCAAAACCAGAGCAGAGGCACAAGAAATATGAGAATACAAGAAAATAGCTCTCTCTCAAGGGAACACGACACCTCCCCATTAGCCATAAACAGTCCAAAAGAATTCACAGAAGTGTCAGCAAAATAATTTATAATATTCATAGTGACCAAACTAAATGAGATGCAAGAGAAAACAGACAACCAACTCTAAGAGATGAGGAAATTATTCCATGACTTGAGGAAGAAACACCATAAAAAGATAGACGCCATAAAAATGAGTCATACAGAGATGAACACTGCAATACAAGAAATCAAAACCTCCCTTGAAAGTATTAACATAGGTAAGATGATTCAGGAGATAGAATCTTTGATCTAGAAGATAAAGCCTCTGACTTAGAAAGAAACACTGAAAAGAATGAAAAAAAAATAACAACAACA